GAAAACCGCGCCGGTCAAGGTCTAGGATCCATTGTACGAGAGACTGCTCTTCAATAGGTAGTAGCTTTCTTTTTCTAGCGTTAGCAGTAGCTTGAGGTTGTCTACCTTGAAGGCGGTCATAAAGCGTTGAACGAGGAACATTAAATAGCTGAGCAGCTTTACGTTGACTCTTAATTTGATGTCTTTGAATTGATTGAGATGCAAGACAAAGTCTACCTTGCCTTTGAGGCGATAGAGAGCGTTGTTGTCGCGTCATAGCTGTTGTTGTGTAGAGGGTTAGGTCAAGTTTGGTGGGGTGGCCGGATGACTGGTGTGGCCGGATGACTGGTGGAACACGTTAGTAGTACACTCTTAGTCAGCCCTACGATCTATAATCCCTAAGCCTACCTACAATAGGAGGCTGAGGATTCATCTTGGAATATACTACTGCCTGCTGCTACCTATTGCCTACTGCTGCTGAGTTCCTTTTTGATCCATCTTTAGTAGTCCAATAGAAACTGCCTTCTCTCAATAACTGTAATAGCAAAAATTAAAGTATAGTATTATCTTTAGTTTATGTAAATGCTATACAGATTTGAGTAAAGTAAAGGAGGTTAAAGTAGGATCCAAATAGAGTATACTACTTGAAGTACTTAAAAGGAGTGATTTTTGAAATATATAATATATAGTTAGAATGGTACAATTATGTACAGCATCGAATAGTGCATGAACCGCAGAGTGCACCATCCCCCGGAATCCCGTCGCAATTATGCTACAATGAATTGATTTCCATCTTCCTTATTATCCTCACTTACTTACGCAAGTACCATCATGGCAGTATTGATTAGGCAGCTTATCATAACATGGATCTACTCCATTCTTTGATATTATGTATTTGCAGTTGTTATTAGTACCATATATACAATCCCCCCCCTTGCGCAAAAATAAGATTACGTTTTGATACAATGTATATGATTGAAACTTACATAACATGCTATCGTGGACTTACACCATATCTTAGCCATCTTAGCGAAACACGGAGTAAACAGGAACGGAGTGATAAGGTAGTAGGCCTTCATTATGAGCTGAAACCTGGATGTCTGAAAACTAGAGAAAACCGGGCCACTTGCTAGAATTTTTAGAGAAAAGCTTTGGATTTATAGATAGCACCAGCGAGACAAAATAAACTCTATAGAAATTACCTTTGAAACTTATTCACCATCAGCTTACTATGCATATTCCTGCTGACTTATTATGCTGCAGTGTTGTGCACGTGACTACGTTTCAGGCAGTGTGTTTGTTTTATTTGCTTTGTGAGTGATTTTAGCGTGCAGGCGCAGCGGCTTTCACAATGCAGTAGAGTGAATAGTACAGAATAGGAGCAAGGCTCTATACCCTTTCAGGCAGTATATATACAAAGCAGCTACGATAGATAGGGAAAAAGAATTAACCACCTCCCCACTCCAACAGCTTTGCAAAAAAAAACTACTCTTGTATTTTATCCTACTTTCTTGGCCTACCTGCCAATTATATTTGAAAAACCCTGTTCCCTGAGTTGTTTGGTGCTGCAGTTATCGCGTTGCTGCCAAACTATATCCTATGGAGATACCACTGAAACATAGTCATCATCTGTGTTTGCGTTTTTTCAAGTCACTATTCATAGACATATTTGTCCTGCTTACTAGCGTTGTTAAGTGTAGCTATTTATATAAAGACATCCTGCTAATTGAAGTAGTGTAGCACTCAGCTAGTAGGTAAAGCTGTGATACATTAATTATCATCATTTTATGAAACAAAGTGGAACAATATATTTCAGTTATATGTATACTCTATAGACTAAAGTAAGCCAAAGCAAGTGAAGATACCATATAATCAGAATATAGTAACCCGCGTTATAAGAAGAGTGATTTTCTAGATAGGTAAGTATAGCAGTGATACACGGTTAGAAAGGTACAACACACGCCTATGTACAGCATCGAACAGTACATGATTCGCAGACTGGTACACCCAATGCATTATCAGTGCAATTATGCTAAAATTAATTAGTCTAGTATCTTAGTTTAAACATGCAGTCGTACTTACGCACTGACCACCATGGCAATATTTATTTATTATTATTATTATTATTATTCTAGTTTAACGTCCTTTTTCAGCCCGAAGGGCTATATAAGACGTGTAGGGTTTTTAGGCCTACAAGTATCTAAGTAGGTTGTTTCTAGCTACGATATTTAGGAGGGGTTTTAACTAGATGAAGGTGAGGCTCGTAGCCTATTGGTTGGTAGGTAGGGTGGGGGAGGTGTATGGCTACCTATTACAGGTATTACTCCTCGTTTTCTGTGTTTCCCTTGTACCAGGCTTGTGTTCCAGCCTTTGTTTCTTAAATAAAAGTAATAGTTGCTTCTATACCCTCTTTTGTTTGAAAGAGGATAGGTAGTGATAGATCGCCTTCGCAGGCTTCTCTTAGTCCTTTCCTTTCCTCTCTATATAGATTACATCTAAATAGAATATGAGGTAGGTCTTGTATAGACCTATAGTTGCAGGGGCAACTATTAGAATCCACTTTCCCTCTCTTATATAGGTAGTCCTTTAAGTAACAGTGCCCTAGTTTAAGTTGGTAGAAAGCGCTGGAAATCTCTCTTCTAGTATTGCTAGGAATAGCGATTTGCTTTCTTATCTTCCACTTGTATTTTGCTGCGTACGTTTGTGGATTCTTGCTAGTGGCTTTTTCCTATACTGTTCAAGTTGGCTTAGCCATTCT